GTTTTTAAAAGAATTGACATCCACATCAAGATCCATACTTTGTAACGTCTTGATTTGTCTTTTAAGTTTTAATCTATAATTCTCATTTTCCCCCCTTTGAAATTTCTTGAAAGATGATTGTAGGGAGTTTGTGAATTTTGTTGTTTATAGTACCATATTTCTTGGTCTCTGTGAACTAAAACCTCAAAGATGTAGAGGTATAACCAGATTCATATGTGAGTCTGCACCTCAAAGTTGACTTTCTTAATTTCTGAGACAGTATCTGGCAGGAACTTGTTTCTCTAGTATCCACTTGGTTCACTCTTTTGAACTCTGTTTGGGCTTCACAGTCTTGGTTGTTGTTGTTATGTGCCATCGAGTCGCTTGTGACTCATAGTGACCCTATGGACAACAGCCTTAAACTCTGCTCTGTCCTGTGCTGATCTCACTGTCTCTGGTACGCCCATCCCGATTACCCTAGTCACTGAATCAATCCACCTCAGTGTCTTCCTCTCCTGCGCTGTCCCTCCACCCTCCCAAGCATGATGTCACCTCTCCAAGGACCAGTCCCTCCTTACAACATGTCCAAAGTATGTCAGACAAAGCCTCAGAATCCTTGCCTCCAAGGAGCAGACCAGTTTAACCCTGTCCAGGATGAATCTGTTTGTTTTTTTTAGCAGCCCTTGGTACCCTCAATACTCTTCTCCAGCACCACAGCTCAAAGGCATCAATTCTCCTATCCTCCCTAGTCATTGTCCAACTCTCTGATGCATAACAAGTGATTGCAAAGACCATGGCCTGTATCAGACACACCTTAGTCTCCAGAGAGACACCACTGCTCTTCAGTACTTTGGAGAGGTCAGACTTTCCCATCGCAATACATCTTTTAATTTCCTGGCTGCTGGTGTCAAGAGTGTTGACTGTGGAGCCAAGCAAACTAAAGCTGTTGAATGATCTCAATCTCTTCACCATCCATCCTGATGCTGCCAATTGGTCCGGTGGTGAGAATCTTTGTCTTCTTGACATTGAGCCTCAATCCATATTGAAGGCTGCAGTCCTTGACACTCTGCAGCAAGCAGTCCTGATACTAATGACATATTGTCCAGACAATTTTGTTGCTAGGAACTGCCCTTACTGTTCTGAGCAATGTAGGATATTTTGCAGTGTACCCAGCCTCTAACCCACTAAATAACAACAACCTTCTGTGTGACAACCAGAGTCTTTTGCAGACATTGCTGAATGTCCTCTGAACAACAAAATCAACCTTTGACTGAGAGCCAGTGTTCTTTGTAGTCATGATACCTAAAGTGATGAGGTGGATTAGCTGTTGAAAGAAAAACCCCAAACCAAAGCATCTCTTTGCCTTCAAGGTGGAAGTGACAGAGCTGACCCTTCAGTGGGTTTTCATGGGCTCTTAGGGAGGCTGCGCATCTTTCTCCTGAGAATGTGCTGCCTGGGGGAAAAACGGGGAGTGCAACTCGCTGCAGATAAAGTCACCAGAACTCCCTCACTGAAAGGAAGGACTGGGATTTCAAAGATTAAAGCTGTCTATTGTTAAGGGTAAAGCCCTAGCCAATCTGAAAAATTAAGGTTTTTCAAGATCACGTAAATTTAATGTGTGATTTCCAAGTAGGACCAGGAACTGTTGAATTAGAATCTGAGGTGAGGAAGTTGAACATCTATACGAAGCAGCCATGGTAGTTCATGTGCTCGCAGCTGGTCTCTAATATTATTGCTTTGGAAACTGCTGAGCAATACCTTTTAAAAAACCTACGACAAAGCCTCTGTGTCCCATTATTCTTGGTACAAGTTATGGCCTTTACTTTTTCTCCATTATCAGTTCAAGTACCTGCGAGACATATAGTTCAACATATATTTAAGTGATAGGTCTGAATTTCTTCTAAGTTGCTTCTGAAGGCTTTTGCATAGGTGTCTTCTGAAAAAAAGAGCACTACACTAACTATACCCAGGGCAACTGGGAATAATCTCTAGCTATTGAACAATGCAGAATTTAATGATCAGAAAAGTCTATAAGCCAAAGAAATTCACTTACAGTTTATCATGCTGCTGGGGGGTGGGGTGGTTACCTCAATGAAAACATATACTTTTAGAGATCACGTGAGACTCTTCCCCAAGTAATCTTCAATAAAAGTGTGTTATGAAGTGGAGAGAGGAAACTACTTTTCTGTGTCTGCTGCTGTGGTTTTAAACTCTTGGAATGAAGAGGCAAAGGGTCAGATAATACAAGTATTGTGCTTTGAGAAAACAGAAGAACTTAGAAGCAATTTGGTTTTCCTGGAGCAACAAATAGGATCCAGCATAAGGGCTGACACCATCTCAGAAATACCGGTCACAGCTCCACCATCTCAAGGACCAGAGATTAAGAAACAGCAAACCTAAGGATTTTTCTCATGTTTCCCCTGTTTGCAGTCTCTTGAGAAGGTCACAGATTAGCTGTTAGACAGCTTGAGAGGAAAGAGAGATAAATCTGTGTATCCGTGACCTCCAGGAACTTTTGGATATGTTGTTGTTGTGTACCGTAGAGTCGGAACTAGCCCATAGCTGGCCCTCCCACAGGTTTTGAGTTGGTTAATCACATGGAAGAAGATTGGACATTTTTCTCCCATGGAGCACCTACCTGGTGGCCTCAAACCAAGTGC